CGCGGAGTTCACCCAGAATTATTTTGCTTTTGTAGGATTCAGGTTGCGCAAAATACGCAACGAGATCGAAGAAAAAGCACCGGAAGCAGGTTGTCGTGTTCGAAACGAAAGGGAACCTTAGTCAGACGCGCATGCTCACTTCCGGCGGCGTCCTTTTCGACAATGTCTGGGAGAAACAAAAATAGGATAGTCCATTGAAACTATACGCAGACCGAACGTTAAAACAAAAAAAAAGAGTGGGCGAAATGGTAAATCTAGCTCCGAAATTACTAGAGACCGAAGGTTTGTGTAATGTGTTTTCATCGGAATCACCTCGGAGCGTCCGAACTAAACAAAACTGTAATTGAAATAAAACGAATATTGCCACGCATGCAATTCAGATTCATGGAATAAACTGATAGGAATGCAAATATGATATATATTTTTGTCCTCAAATATTTCAACTACAACGGCGATCGTAGATATAGGTATAGTCGCTGGTATCTGAACATCGAAAGTAGGATCGAACGCGATACGTCTTGACGTCCACCAACTAAAACTCGAACGATGAAATCGATTGTTTGAAAGTCGAACCGTGCGCACGCGCTCTATGTAGATATGTATTCGAACTCGGGGAACGACTTGTTTCTTCTGTTAGCCGTCGCGACGCGACATAGGTTTCGTTGGTGCGCAGTGAATGCGCTAGGTAGCGCCACTGTAACGATCGCTTGCTCGATCGTTTGAATTCGCGGGTAAATTCGCGCGTGGCTATATATACGAGGGAAAAAATAAACGCACGCGTTCCTTGTTTTCTCGATAACGACAATGAACAGCGCACGACAAGCTATGCCGCTGACGACGGCATCGATGTATCGAGGACAATCGGATATGTCAAGGGGAACGTTATCGTCGTCCCGTCCAAAGTAGAGACGATAGAACGCGTAAACAAGCAAATAAACGACCCCATGTCGTCGTCATCTGGACGGCTGGAACCTCGCACAAGTTTTCGATGCTCAAAGAATGCCGCGAGTCATTCAACTAAAGATTTGTGATTTATCTATCGATTATCGCGGCACGAGGGCCCGTCTCATTCCGTAGTGTTGCGAAAAAGATGAGAATGGAAAAAATGAAATGAATGGAATGAATGGAAAGAATTGAAAGGATGCCAAAGCGCGGAAGCGGACGAACATTTTCAGTGACCTTTTAATATCATCGCGAGCTAGGCCTGGGAAATGAAAACTGTTGAATCGATTAAACCAGAAATATGGGTGAAAATCGACGACCCACACGAGCGTCTAACAATCACGATTATTCGAATGTGATGCAGACTGATTATTTGCAAATCTATGCCGAATGACGCGGATAGACGACGGCTGATTTCTGATCTACAACAGCAACCGGTAGGGGGTCATTAACGTAACAACTAGTGTGCAAGTATGCTCGGTACGTCGTCGTAGATATGTATATGGTTCTCGAGTGCGATTGTCGAAAAATTTGGTGAATCGGTGAACTGGTTGGTCGATGGCCAGCCCCTGTATACCCAAGATTGGGCTGTGTTGTGTGAGCACGGTATTCGCGAATACAAACGACGACTACCATGACGGTTTGGTCGTAAAGTTCAGCGTGGGTTATCGGTGAAACCAGGGGTAAAAGTCATCTAATCGGCAAGCGAGAATCACGCTCTTCTCGTCCGCCGCTTTTCGTCATTGGTTCGTTACGATAATCACCGCGTCTTTCCTTTTCCTTCGTTCGTTCGGCGATGTTTCTCTAAAACTGATTCTCGATAAACGAAACTAGTATAAATACTTCCAACTTTCAAGTTTCATCCCCCGTCGAAGTGAATCGGTTTGCCGCGAAGGCTGGCTACCGCGAGTTACTCCATCCGTTTATTCGTTCGCGACAGAACACGTGAGTTGCGATCTCAACGGTATTTCCACTTATCGTTTCCCCGTCAATCAACCCTTAACGCACCTTGTTCGCAAAACTCTAGACGACAGAAACGACTGTTACCTCCTGATTCGCACAAGCGTTGTACGTCGTTCATCTTCCGAATCTTTCATCCATTCGATGCGTACGCCGAGCGGAAATTTGATTTTTCTTCGGATTGTCTCGAGATTCGCGAAAAGTGGCCATTGGTCTGAACAATATACATACCTACATACATTGTTCGAGTAGTCTCATTCAAGTGGTTTGCTCGCGGAATTATTTCGACGATCGAAAGATTGTCGTTTCCCTGTTCGCCAATATGTTTCGGAAAGGGAAAAAACGCGGATTTTCGTATACCTATAACTCGAATTTCCGGTTTCGCGTTGTCGTGGATAGGGTTAAACATGTCTCTCTGGTTTTCGAATGAACGAAATGTTAACGAAACATCCGTTTTCTTTCAGGAGCGAAGCATTCTGCCAAAGTATTACACGAAGGTGCCCTCGGTCGCGAGATCGTCGACGACCAGTTCGGGTGTCAGCCTAGACTGTTCGTCGAACACGACCATTGCAACAACTGCGAGTCCGTTCAACAGCCAAACTGCCCTAATCGTGGAGAAAAAGACCTCTCTCGACAGCGTCGCAGCCACATCCGTCAACAACCACCATTATTATGCGCATAATTTGAGGAATAACCATCAAAAGGCCCTGCACGGGTCCCGCGTTTACAACCCCCTCGAAAAAGATAACGAAAACGATTACAAACAACTTGATCCGTTGTTAGCCGGTGAACGACCTCCCTATTCGTTAAACACAAAGCCGACCATGAGTTCTCAGGATGTCAAGTCAACGAAGGATTCGATCGGTATGGACAGGCTTCACGCAACTACGTACGAGTTCGAAAAGGAAAAGAAGCCGTCGCTGATGCGTTTCGGTACTCAGGTAATTCTCCTCCATTTCTTTCCTCGACCGTGTACGATTTTCGAGCCAGCGCCAACAAGTTGGATAAGCATAGACGTAGTGCGGTCTCGCTCGCGAATCCTTTACCGGGGTTGGTCGCACGTAGACCGCAACTATTTATTATACATACACGCGTATGTATGTATGTATGTATGTATGTATGTATATGAATCGGATTGTTTGTTTGCGTCGAATAGCATGATCATGCCGCGACCAATTGGTTCTGCCCAGCGTTGATTCGAGAAGCGAGAGTAGCTTCGACATATATTCTATGTATGTAATCGGATCGTTTGTGGATTATTGTTCCACGGGGCGCGAAACCTTCGACCGCGCTCTCGCGGGGAAACGATACACAGACCTCGTACGTTTCTTCTCGCGTACGCGTCTCAAGGTGACGTACGACGATGAAAAAACCTTGATCCATTTGTTGGTTCGCCTCGGCTCGTAGAGTTCGAAACGATGCGGTCGCTCAATCAGGAAGTTTCTCTATCGTGAATCGATGCCGCCCGCACGAATCGGTAACGTGTCGTGTCTTGCCCCAGCATACGTGGGAATCTTCGTGCAAGAAACGCGCGACGCGACACTACTTCCGTTATCTCTGTTCGAATTGCTCGTCTCTCGCGGACAAATTGTTTTTCCGTGAGAGAGAGAGAGAGAGAATCGGATCGAATCGTGTTGGATGCCGCGCGTGTCTCTCCCGTCCTCTCCGACGGCGGGGCTAAAATCGAGAGGATTGTGGTCGTCGCGTTTACGACATCCACGCGTTGCGTATACCAGTTGCACTTATTGTTGCGCAAATAGACGTACACGAATAAACATCACGAGCAGCGAACGACGCGTAGCGCGTGGCCCGCCGATGTAGTTCGAATTATGAAAGCTTTCGACGCGATGTTCCGGCTCGAAAATTAATATCTGTTTCGATTCGCTTTCGGATGTCTGTCCCATTGCCCCGAGAGACGGGGCCGATACCCCGGCGCGGCGTAACGCTTGTGCACGGTGCACGTATCGCGCATAAACGTACACCTGTTTCCGTCGAGGGGCGATAGGACGATTACCGCGAACGAGCGAACGAGATCGGAACGGCTGGATGGATCCCGACACCACAGATGGGGCCAGGTGGTGGTCGTGCAGATGATCGCGCAAAATACACGCAGAAGAATAACGATAGCGTAATACGTCTGGTAGATCTCGCGCGTGTACCGACGTTGCTCCATCGAAAGAAACAATTACGGAAAACAAAAGACGTATGCATGAATGCATGCGTTCGTTCGCGCACTGGTGCATGCATTTGTTCATATGCAGCTACGGCGACGACCTTGCGCAGTTTTGATAATAACTAACGACTTCATTTTCTACCTTTCTACGCATATACGGTATACGGCTGACGTTCCTGTTTCTGTTTCGAATCGTTTGCAAATCGCTATCTCAGACCGTACGCTCTAAATACGGAATTTCCTGAAAATCGAAATAAAATTCCGATGGTTCAGCTGCGATCTACTCTCCTCGTGAAACAAACGACGCAACGCTTCGTTCTTTTTCTTTTTCTTTTGCCCGCGTGAAACGGAAAGAAGAGTGGCGTGTCCCGATCCGACAAAGGCGATTACGCAACGCGTAAGAAGGTCGCGTGTAAGATCGGACGTTGACGACGATACCCTGTTAAAGATGTCGAGGCACGCGCCTCGAAATGGATCCGTACACGAATTTTAACACGAAACGTCCCCGGTCTTGTCGCTTTCGAACAAGTACACAGATACTATGTGACATACGTACATCCAACACCTTCCTCGGGTTCCCTTCGGGTTTTTCTGCTTCGCTTCACCTTTCGACCGTTTCGTTCGTCATCCTCGAAATGAATCCCACGTGGGCCACGTGTCGGGACGCCGAGATGCGACGTCGTATAAGAACGAAGGAATGGCACGAGTTACGTTCGCGCGTAGGACCGCGTACGCATACGCGAAACAATCGCGCGCATACATACACGTATATGTATATGTATATGTATATGTACGTATAATCGTCCGATTCGCGGACGACGGATCCTCGCGGTCAGAAGGGAAGGGATAGTCGCGGCCCCCCAGCATCGTTCCCTATATAAGCCGAGAACTACCCGTCGGTCCACGAGTGTCAATAACGTGTCAATATTATACGCGAACAACGTCGTCGACAGTGGATATAACAAAAATAAAAACAACAACACCGACGGCGACAACGGCGCAGAGAAAGCCAACATCGAATTGTTCGTATTCGAGGAACGCGTTCGCATCGAACAAGTTGTTCCATCGTCGATCGCGATTTACTACGCGATTTCAATCGCGAAAAATTTCTATCGGCCGTTTTTTTTCCTTCGATCGATTTGGCAGTAGATAACTCTCGACCATGAAGATTCTTATGCGAGCAGACACCCATGTGAACATCGAATTACCGGGCAACGCGCCAGTCGCTAAATGCACCTTCAGTCAGGTATCGACAACATGATTGTGCAATTTTCGTAGATTTTTTTGCTAATCAATACCGGCGGAAACTTCACGATCGTGATACTGTCTTCGACAGCCTCTTTCATTCTCGACTCGGGTCGTTAAAACTGTCACGATCGTATCGTGTCGCGTCTCTGAAATTCTTTCCAGCTCATTTCACCCTCTCACGTCCAGCTCTAATCCCACCGATCGACCTTTTCTATCGAATATCGGTCATGAATATATCTGTCGTGGTTTACGCAGCATCGTATCGGCATTAACGTGTTCGTTTCTTCAATTCGATTTGATCGGTTTTTTTTTCACAGGTGCTGGCTGCTTTGTCGGTGTCATTGGGTTCTATGGTGGTTGGCTACGCCAGTTCGTACACCTCCCCAGGTTTAGTCTCTATGAGGGACAATGCCACGCATACGTTCGTAGTTACGAAAGAAACGGTGAGTACCGAAGGTTGAACGGAGTTGATTCGTCGTAACGACGACGTGATATTACGATCGCGCGTCGCATCGCTTTCGAATCAGAACGAATTTCTCGTGTTGCGTAGTCAAGAATACTTTTTAAACAAACGTGCTTCAAGGAAATCGCCGCGCACAATCGCGCGGTTCGTACGCTTCACTGGAAACAGAAACAATTTTATCCGGATTCCCTTCTTATCCGGTGAAACGAGTCAAGGCTAGACGACCAAGGCACGTTTGTTTTCAAACGATTTCCGATTATACGAGTCTTCCGTACAAGCGTCGTTTTTGATAATATAAATAAACGATTCACAGGCTTTCTTATTGCGGGCATCGAGACTGAAAACAGAAATGGAACCGGAACCGGAACCGAAACTGAAAACAGACGCGTACCTTTGCGTAACACCAAGCCCCCTGTCCCGGTGCGTCTTTGTACTGATTGTAGCGAGTGAAAACCCTTCTCCATCGGGAAACGCGAACTAGAGGGAGGGTGGGAGAGAGAGAGAGAGGGAGAGAAAGAGCACCGGTCAAACAGCGGTAATGGCAATAGCGTATATGTATGCACATTTGATCGATGCATCGTTCGTTCGATGAAAACGAAGAGGATTGCCGGCGTATCGTCGATATCGAAAGGGTCAATGGATGATTAAAACTTTAACCTCGAGTGCGTCAATGGTAGCGCAACGGTTCGATTACGACCCCGTTGGTCCGAGAGTAACCACCATTGGTAGGCCGGTTGTTCCCGAGCCTCGAGAACCGTGACGCAGGACGTTGGTTGTTACAACCTTCGTTGGTGATACTCGCGTCGAGAGGTTTATTCGCGCGAGCATACGCCCGTAGCCTAGTTTACTCGACGCGGATTCTTCCGCGTTTTCTCTGTCTCTCTCTTC